AACATGAAACCCCGTCACAAGTGCAAGAAGTACTCATGTCCAAGGCTGAGGCTGATGTTGAGAACCCGCAGGCGACCGACGAGCAGTTGCTGCAAGTCTTAGACCGCCTGCACAGGAACTTGGGCCATCCACCGAGTCACGACCTGATCCGCGTCCTGAAACAGGCTAGTGAACGAGCCTTAGGCCTAGCCAGGAAGTATGAATGCCAACTGTGCAAGACCCACATTCGTCCTCATGTGGCCCTGCCGGCTAAGACCAGCCGAGTATCTGAATTCAATCATACGATTGGTCTGATGATGGAAGACCAATCAAAAGATCAAAGCACTGAACATTGTTTGCCATGGCAGTTGTTACCAATTGGTCATTCCTTTTCACGAAACGTCGGTTGTTTGCTGAAAATTGGATTCGTGTTTTTGGACCACCTCGTGTTATCTTGATTGATCAAGCCCAGACCAACATGGGCGAAGCTCTCCAGGATTTTCTGGACTTGCAACAGGTGGTGCCTTGAGGGATACTTAGAGCCAGATCTTGACCAAAAGTTAGATGAAGGTCTCCTCCAAAGTCCCACACGGAGCCAAATTGGTAGAATGATCCTGATGCAACTCATCGCCTCTTTCGGTTGGGACTTGCAGTTAGGAGATATCCAGGGCGCGTTCCTATAGAGGCGGGACCGTTGCCTGATCGTTTCCGACCATTGTGTGCCAGAATGCCACAGGGAGGAATTCCCTCTGTTCCAGATGATGCAGTTCTCGAAATCATAGGAAATGTGTACGGCGTACGGTCAAAATGATGACACGGCTGCCTGTGGTTTTGGATGGGAACGATCTCTTTTTTGATGCCTGTCTACTTCCTGCGCGATGACTTAGGAGGCACAGGGCCCAAATTCACCGAAGCCGTCCGTCAACTCCGTGAACGATTTCCATACCATAAGTGGAGGGTTCAATCGGGTGAGTTTTGTGGAGCTTTCGATGTCCAAGATCCAACCACAAAAGAGATCTCCATGTCCCAGCAAACCTTTGCTGAAAATATCAGGCCAGCACATATCGCCAAAGGAGCGGATAATGAACAACCGCTGCAAGATTCACAAATCCGGTGATAGGCGAACGAGCAGGGACATCATGATCAGCAGGGAATCAATCAAAGTCAAAGCCACCAAGGCCTCCATCCGATGGCTGCCAACAAATCGCATGTTAGCTGATGCACTGACTACGGATAAAATGGCTCCTGTAGATTTGCTCAGCTCATGCCTTCGTAGTGCCACATACCAAATATCACCTCAAGAACATGTGTTAGTGCAACAAGCAGCCGAAAGAGACCTCCGGATGCAGAGACGCCTTCAGTCCAATCGACCGGAAAAGACTCATCGCCGTGAGCCGGTCGAATACGATCGTAATTCATCATCTTGAGATTCAAGAGAATGTGGTACTGAAAAATCAGTGGGTGAGACATTCAAGCAGGCTTTTCGTGTCGGGTCTCTTTTTCTTGTACAGTGCAAGAATGAAGCTTGAAGTGATTAGTTACACTCTGCAGCCCCTTTTTGCCGGAAGCACCTGTCCGTCGACTGTTTCTTAGTGCTTCCTGGGACCATGCAGGATGCTGAGCAGCTCCGTGCCCTGTTCCAAAAAGGCACTCCAGAACGAAGTCGAGCCAGTCGTGGCCCTTGGTGGACTGCCTCATGAAGAAGACTTTGAGTTAGTGGGCGCAATGAGTGATGCATCCAAGCGCTTGCCAGATCATCAATATCCGGTGAGCTCCAAGGCAAATCTGCCGCTACTGAGGTCGATGCAGTGAAGCCTGGCGATTCCTATGTGACCAAGGACCTGCCAGGTCCATATGCTGCTGCAAGCGATGTGCCAGCCTATCATTCCAGTTTGCCACCGCTGCCACCGCGAGTCATCAACACCGAGCAATGGGGCCGCGCTCAGATTTGCTTTGGGAAATTCAGGTCCCGCCAGTGGTCCTACATGGACTTGTTGTCCTTGTCGGATGGCGAGGCCCAGAGCTATGTGAAGTGGTGCCGTGCTCGTTACAGCGCAGCAGGTGGAGAGCTGAAAGACCTCGCTTCATTTCTCTATCGTTTTGAGATGGAGCGTTCGCACAGCTCATTGAAGACTGGAGAATTCGTTCCAGGTACTGGTTCCCTTCATGCATTCAAATGAGCCGAAGGATGAAGGCGATTGGATTCAACACTTCATTTGAAGTTGGAAAGTATAGTGTTGATTTTCCATGAACGCCGTCCGCAGGGATCGCAATGGTTCGTAGGAGAAAGAACCGCCGCGCACCCTTTCGTGTCGGTAGGACCCGACCTGGTGGTTTTGTTATATATATATATATACACTAGGGGCTGGGTGAGTTGCGAAAACAACTCCTCGTAGCGGACTGAGGGAAAACCTGTTTCGACCATTGTGCGGGTAGTTAACTCCTGTCTCATCATGGTGTGCTTGATTTTTCCGATGCAGTTTCTTTCTTTTGTTCTAATCATTTCTGGTTTGTGTCAGCAGGTGGTGACACATGAGATAGGACTTGGCCCATACATGAACACAAAAATATCTGATGCCACAACATGTTGAACACCAATTTCCGGACGTCAAGCATCCATATGCAGACATGTTGCTGGCATGACCAAACGGGAGGAAACAAACAGGAATCGTTGGCATGCTGAATCGAAGCGTTCCAAACGTGTTCAGTTTGCCATTTTCTCAAAACTGATGAGTTGGGATGTCATTTGGTGATGGCCTGCTTACCTCCTATCTCGTTTTCTCTTGAGCAAGGCATGTTCCAAAAACACTTAGCTTTAACTTTGTGTGTTAGGAGTTACCGCCTGGGAGTAACTCCCAACCCATCTTCCCCTAGTATAATAGTAATTATTGGATCAAAACTGTCAAATTTGAGGTCTTTTTAGCTACTTCGGCATTCTGCACTTTCTGCTCCTAAAAATATAGTTTCTATTTGACTTTCCGATTCAGCCTTTGCTACTGTTTTAGTTTCCGGGGTTTCTGATTGTCGCCAGCCCGGACCCTGATCCTGGCCCAAGAAAGCAGGGAATTCTGGATGTGTTCTTCAGAAGCTGGAATAGACAAAAATAGTATGTGCAGAAATGGCTGTTGGTTGCTTGGAATGCTATCGTTTTAGGCCTTACGGGTGTTCAAGGACTGGCAAAAAAATGTTTAGTTCTTTACCATAGAGCAGGCAGGAATTACTAGCG